TGGTCGGAAAGAGTCAAAAGCAAAGAACAAACAAACTCCAAGTTAAGGTTAAAGGCCCAAAGAGAAAAAAACACCAAAAAAAAATTAAAAAGTTACACCAGCATAGACCCAGATAGCTAGGCAGAATCCCATGGCCTGTTGACACGTGACCGGCTGGAACAAACATGTACGCAGCCTGCACAGCCAGCTTACGGCCCCTCCACAGTGCGCACAATGAGCTGACACCAGCACCGGCGCGCTTTGCCAGATGACAACACCGGCAGCGGCGCCAGCGCCGCCGCCCGTCTTAAACGCACGCTCAGCCAGCTCACAGCACCAGCGCCCAGGACCACAACACCAGCACCAGCACCGACACCCTTTCGAAACCGCGCGCAGCCAGCTCATTCTTATTTGCAGCAAGAACCCCATAGCTATCCCTATTTGATCCTATTTTGGGAATAACAACGTATGATCTTGCGCGTAGAGGTCTACGCGCACAAAAGCACGCGCGCAAACAGCAAAGCCCGTAAGTGCCACTGGCCCAAGGCCAAGCGCCCATAGGCTTCACTCGCCCAAGGCCAAGCAGCATCCAGCATGACTGTTGTGTGTGTAGCATGCTGAAACATGCTGAAACAATGGCCGGTTGAGAGCCGAACGTTGCGCATAGAACATCATACGTACAAAAGTACGCGCGCAAACAGTACAGCCCTTGACACAGCTGTCGGCCAAAACAGAACCTGAAGAGTGTAAACACCTCACAGCGCTAATAGACAAAGAACGCTCAAGCGACAACACCGTATGATGTTGCGTGCATAAATTCATGCGGCCCATGACTGCTGGCACTTCATTGACAGAAGCGGCGCGTGGTCGCCGTTCACTGCTACAAGCGGCGGTTCGTCACCCCTCACCAGCACCGAGCACCCGGCATCAGCACCAGCAACCTGTCTCCACCACATGCACGGCCAGCTCACAGTGGCCCAAGGCCAAGCAGTATCCAGCGCCACTATTGACTTTGTAGCATGCTTGAAGCAACGATCTGTATAGAACGATAAGGCCGTATGATCTTGCACGTATAGGTTTATGCGCGCAAAACGCGCAGCCAGTTCACAGCACCAGCACCGGCACCCTTTCTCCACCACGTGCACAGCCAGCTCACAGCGCCAGCACCAGCACCAGCGCCGGCAACCTGTCTCGAAAGCGCGCGCAGGCAGCTCGTTTTTTGAAGTAAGAACACAACCGCTTCGCTCTCTGGGGAAGAAGAATTCATCCCTAAAGATGAAAAAAGATTGTCTTTGAAGCTACTAGGAGCAAGGACGCTACTAAGGTCTACAGTCCGAAGTCTTGAAAGAACATCTAAAGGTCTACAGGAAAACACTTCTACAAAAACAACAGTAAAGAAAACAAGCAACAAGTTGCTGGGTATCCGGGTGTCGTAAGCTTTCGATCTGCAGAGCCCTGGCCTCCCCAAAAACACGGAAGAAGTCCTCGCGATTTCGTAGCTTTGGCAGACTCCTCAGACACTTAGTAACAAGAAGCTACTAAGTGGAGGCCAGCGATACTAGTAACAAGAAGCTACCAGGTGAACACATAAACTCACGATCGATTTAGGAGCCGGCACGGAATAAATCGCCAAGTTTCTCATCGAACTCCAAACTGGAGTCATACTGCCTGCGTTTCACCGGATCAGATAGTAGCTCGTAGGCCTCTTGGATCTTGATAAAGTTTTCTTCCACCTGACAGGCAGGTGAAAAGTCATCAAACTCTGCAACATGTCAGATCGGAGTCCGTAGTCGGTCCATTGATCTGGATTCCTCTTTGTCTAGAGCATCCCAGTACTGGCAGAACGCCAAACTCTGAAAACGAAAGCTGAAACTGCCTAACTTTTGGCAAAAGTGAGCTAACAAAGGAAAGTGGTAAAGAAAGAAAAATTGTCAGAGTAGTGAGTAGTGTCGCCGGTGCAGAAGTCTTGTTAAGTTTGACCTGGCCAACGGGTGAAAGTGGGAACTTGTCAATTGCGGATAAGTGTGCAGCTTTCACCAGAAGGACCGACCCAACTCAAAGTGAAAAGAAACTAGGAAATGCTTGCGAGGTGGGACACATGTTTTTCTTCTGTCTATTGTGAACGTTTCCCTAGCAGTTTGCCGTTGGCTTCATTGCATGCTTCAATTGAAATTACATGCGTGGCGGCCGCGAACACTTGTTCTCGACAAGCGCAAGAGCAAAAGAGCAAGTCTGCCTTGTCCCCCACCAAACGCTGCTAGTAGCTAGAAGCTACTAGGTGGAGGCCATGGCTAGTAGGTTGGAGGCCATCGCTATGTAACAATAAAGCTTTTTAGGTCTTTGAAGCTTCTAGTAACCCCTTACTACTAGTGGTGCTTACGAAATAAAGCGCAGACTTCTTGAGCTTCCAACCTTCTTGACTTCTTCCGGCTCAGCAGAGACGAGCTTGTCCGGGTGCGCGCTCAACGCCAAGCTTCGATAGGCTTTTTTCACCTCCTCCTGGAAAAATACATCGTCTTTCGTGCCCCCCCACCAAAAAAATACTAAATTCTCAACTAAACTATTCAATAACAACTACAAACAGGACAAAGGAATAAGACAAAAACAGAAACTAAACTAGTAGCGAGTAATGTGCCGCTCTCTCTCTCTCTCTCGACAATGAGCGAGATGAGTGGGTCCTGAGAAGCACCCTCAGAAATCCCCATCAAGTCCTGAGAGAACGAAAAAGGAAGAGAAAAACAAAAACAAACAAGAAAGACGATACAAAAAATCTAGATACCAATTGCCTCCAACGTTCGCCTCCACCCTACTAGCGATGGCCTCCAGCCAACCTACTAGCGATGGCCTCCAACCTAAGACGCTGGAAAATAAAAAATAACAAAAGTCAAGAAAGGCGAAACACATGTCCAGCATCGAAGGCATATATTGGCTGATCATGGCTGATCAATTGTCCATGAAGGTGCAGAGACTTTTGATGCACTCCAAAGTCAGAGCAAACACACTTGAAAACTGCTGCAAAGACCTACCTACTGGATAACTCTCTTTAGTCTGCCCCACTTGAAGCGACTCTCAAGTTTGACAGCTGTTTCACCACAGCCTGACACAGAGCCTGAGGGATCCACGTAGAGCTGCACGCCTTTGAGAAGCTCACCTGAAGTCGCAACTTGTTCCTAGTAGCTTATTGTTTCTAGTAGCTTCTTGTTACTAGTATTGTGAAAAATGTGAGGAAAAAGGCGTCAGAAAAAGGTAAAATAAGAATCTCTTTGAGAAGAGCAAGAATGATCAAACCAGTCGCTTATCTTCAAATAGCCGCCAGCCATTTTCTTATCCTGCGCAAGAAAAAAGACACAAAAACAATTGCAATGTCTGAGTCTGAATGTGCAGTCCTTTGGGCTGCTCTTTCCATACTCCTCTCCGCGCGGTACTGTCTCATCATCGCTGAGGGAGCCAGACTCATCATCCTCATATGCCCTGGCCCTGGCCTCAACTCCCAGACAACTCAGTGCAACAAGTCGTTAGAAAAATAGAAAGGTACATATTGGAGGCACTAGTAGTATGTACGTTGCAAAATGCAGGCATTGCACAAACGGCGGGGTTGGAACTATTGCAGGAAGCAAGCGCATGGTCCAACAGGGTATCGTTCAAACAAATTTGACACAACTCATGAAACAAGTTTTACACCAACAAATGTGGTTCTAAACAAGTGTCTGTCTCAAAGTACTTGCTCTAAAGGAGTTAAATCCTCCAACTGTGGAAGGTTTAAACTTTAAACTGGCTTGCTCGCCCTTCCAACCCAAACATGACGAGCAAACCCTTGATTCAGAGCAAAAAAGGAGAGACGGCTGTTTTCTTTGCAAAGCTAACTTCCAGTGGCTAGTTTGCATAGCCTTGCCATCACTGCATTCAATCGTTTTGTTGCTCTAACATCGCTTTGCTATCACTTGTGCTTTTATATACATTGCTCTTCCTTTGCTTTTGCTCTACTTTGCTGCTTTGCTTGTGCTGACTTTGCCAGCTTTGGTGGTGCTTGTGGTCTAAGCCCGTTGGTTTGCAGGTGCCTTGATGATGCAACCTGCTTGTCCAAAGAAAGGCATCATACAACGATGTGCGCCTCAAAGCGGGTAGCAAAGGCAACCCCAGCAGCTTCGCACTTGTACTGTGCAGCTGCCTTAGCCGAAAAAAGACACAAAACATCCGCTCCAAACAACCGTAACGACGACCAACCCGTAACCGCCAGAACCATCTTTGAGGCCACTGCAACATAGCCACCCGCCACCAGCTGCACCGGCGCACAGCAGCTCAAGATGACCTGGAATGCTGCCAGGGAGTTAGGTTGGAGGCCATTCCTATCCCAATGTCAACTTAGAAGCAAGAATCCCTGGACAGCGGAACAAGTGCATCGCTTCTAGTAACAAGTGCCTTACTAGTAGTAACAAGAAGCTATTAGGAACAAGTGCCTTACTAGTAGTAACAAGTGCCTTACTAGTAGTAACAAGAAGCTATTAGTTAATCGGCTCAAAATGACCAGTAAAAATGCTCGATCCCAGCGCTGCAGGGCCATGGCTGGGTGCCACTGAGTGCTGAGGCCGCAACGGTTTCTGTGCTGCCATCCAGCAATGCCTTTCTGCCCATGGGACCCATAGCCTCGGAAAGAGATCCCAAAAACATTGATAAGAGCTCCACACATCATAACTTCATACTAGTGATTGGAAAGGGCACAAGTCTCTGTACGATTCAATGGTTGGCGAGCGGGCCTGGCTAAGCTAGATAAAGGCCCAGTGCTTGAACACAAAGTGCAGCAAAGATTTGGACATCCGCAATATGCATGACCACGTCGGCACGACATCAAAGCACATGTTGGTTGGAGGCCATCACTATTGGAGCGGGGTGGAGGCCATCGCTAGTAGGTTGGAGGCCATCACTATTGTTACATCAGCGCGACACCAAAGCACATGGTGCCATTTTTGGCTCAAGGCAGGCTTTGGCGGCTATCGGCTATCGCCTGTCCTACTCAACACAGCTCAGCAGCCTTCGAAGTCCTGGCCGCGGTGCTGCGAAGGACCGGAATCCATTGCCTTTTCTTCTGTTGGGCGACCTCCCGCTAGCAATGGCCTCCATCCGACTCCAACCTAATAGCATTGGCCTCCAACCTAGTGGCAATGGCCTCCAACAACACAAATCCGTTTCTCAAAAAGTGCTTTGGGCTCCACCTTGGTAGAAAAACACAATAACGGATCCAATGATGGACAACAGCGATCACACTCGTGGACCACAGTGCCTCCCAATACTGGCTGCCGTAATCGGTGATGAGTTCCCCACCCTTCCTCACCTCTTTGGTGGTCCTGGCTCCAAGACTCAAAGTATTGAAACACGTGCTGTTAATTTAAGGCACTTGAAGGCACTTGAGGGCAAAGTATTGTTTTCTAAGGCACTTGAAGGTCCTGAAATAGGCGACATCACCAAACTCACAGATCTTCACATTGACCTTCTTGCATTGCCTCAGGAGGGAAAACACTCAGAAGTTATCAAAAAGATTCAAAAAGTGTGTTGTGCGCAGTTGTCCGCTGAAGTCTTCAGCCAAGACGCTCCTTGCTTCGCGCAGCATTGATAAACCGTGCTGGATTTGTGTCAGCTGTCTCACGGCCATCGATGCAAAAAGTTGTTGCCGCTCCAGCTTTCTCAGCCTCGGCTGCAAAATTAACGCTGCATATCTTTTTGGGGGAAAGGCAGTGGGTGAGGTAGGTAGCTTACTAGGCACGAAGGGTGTTAGCTACTAGTAGGTAAGCCGAGTAGGCCGCTACTAGCTAGATACAGGAGAGCCAGCGCATCTTCAAAGAAGCTCCCTCCGCCTGAGAGCGGGGGGGAGCTTTATTGCAGAAGCGCTCGCACTATTCATATGGCTTCTAGACCTTTAGGGAAAATGGTGAATACCTTGGCGCGTTCGTTGAGCGCAAGCTGAGCGCAAGCTGAGCGCAAGACGCTAAGTAATTGATCGTCCGTAAAATTAAATAGCCCGTCTTCTCTCAGAGGGCACCACACATAGTCCATATCACGTGTGCCCCTCATTGTTCGGAATTCGCCAATGCCTTGATGCATGCGATCATCGCACAAGCTTGGCTTCATTGGGGGCCTGGAAAATTGCTCTTCCAAGACACTCAGAGGCTTTCCTTGATACGGCGGCAACCTGGTCCACTTTTTGGACTCCGTCTCCGGAGAGGCTTTCTTCACTTCCTCTCCAATGTCTCTTTCTCCTTATTCCTGTCTTGGTTTTCTTCAATTCATTTGGCTCGATTTCTTCCTTTAGACCTTCAAAGCCATTAGACCATTTTTTTTACTAGGTTGGTGGCCATCGCTGGTAGGTTGGAGGCCATCGCTAGTAGGTCGGAGGCCATGGCTTTTTATACTCTCTTTTTCTCTGAGCTCCCCGAACACTGTGTACTTCGGAAGCAGCTCGGTTGTGAAGAGCCCATCGCCAGCACCATCCAAAGTCGATGGTTTCACTTTCAAATGGGAGCCATCCTGACCAAAAGGCAAAAGTCAAAGTATCAATCGGAGTCAAGTATCAAAGATCATCAAAGACTTCAGAGTCTGTTTGGATAGATATTAGAATATATGAAGGATGTGGGGAAGCAAGAGATCTTTTTGGAATGAATTCAAGATTTGCCTAGGAGACCAAGGGGGAGGGAGCCTCTTCGGGGGAGCACCCCATATAGTGTGGTTTCTGCATGCTTCGTGACAGGCAAATATATACTTCTTCCAGGAACGCTGCTTGCTCCTGAGGCAGCCCAAGGCCCTAAGGTCTTGGTAATGAGAGAAAGAAAGAACCTCCAACCTAATAGCTTCTAGCCAACCTACTAGCGATGGCCTCCAACCTATAATAGCTTCTGGCTAATGTAAATAAATTAGAATAAATGCACTGTAATTAAACTATAGTCTGTAAATAGATCGGTTATTGTTGTTTTTTTGTGCCTGTCACTTTTTCTGGCCTCAGCTCTTGGCCTCTTTTCTAAGGGGAGTCTTCCTGAATTGCTTTTTGCAAACGTTCAGACTGTTCAGAGCTCGCTTTTTAATTTTGCTACACAGGTAGGCTTACAAAGGTGTTCACCATCTTCTTTTGGATGTGCTTGGTGTCCGAAAGCTTGTTCTCCTGCATGTTGCTGGAAGTGGCAAATTTATTCAATCAAAGGAAGCTACCAGAAAGCTACCAATGTCAAACACACTTTGTTGGGCTTGGATGCTTTGAAGCGACAATTACTTCTCTGCGGAGTCTTGCAACAAAATGCTGCGTGTGCATCAAAATGCCATTTGGCAGCGAACTAGCAATGCGGTTGATGTCATCATGTTACTCTACTGGGCAGCTCATGAGCTGACCCAGTTTGAACCTACCTGTCATTCCAACCAGTCTTGGTTTGACCGAAGGCCAAGCCCGGCCAAGGCCTAGTTGCGGCCAAAGGGCATGGGATGGCGTGAGGATTGTTTGGTTCTGTCGTGGCATGTGACACAAATTCAGCTCACCTAATAGCGATGGCCTCCTACACAAATTCGGCTCTGGCTCAGGGTTATGTCCAGTGCAGTTCAACGTTGCAAAAGAAAGTGGCCACACTAGAGCTCCACGAGGTTGCCATGGTACAGTTCTTCTTTTCTTCTGGGCCGATTCGGGAATTGTCCAAGTTTCGGGAGAGCGCTGTATTGGATTCTGTGTTTTTTTGGTGGGGGGGAATTCAAGTAGAGGTCCACAAATAGGCAGTGACTTAGTGTCCAGTGCCAAGCCCAAAAAATAAGGAACAAAAAGGTACACAAGCACCCAGTTGCTTCCGGGCCTAATTGCGGCGTGCACAACAGCTGACGTACACCCAGTTCAATTTTTTGGTAGAGCTCTTGGAAGTACTTGTGTTTCGGTTGGACTCTGTCATTGTCTCTTCGCACCAACTTTTCCAGCTGAAACCGCTTCGTTGTGATCCTGCTCTGACAGTTGTCACCCTTGAGATTGTTACAAACAAAAGCCCGATTGGGAGCCCTGCTGTGGAGGTTTTGGGTGACTTCCCTCAGCTGGCTTTCGGAGACAATGGCTACCCTCTGAGGGCATTCTCGTAAAGACAGACTTGTGGCACTTTCTTTCTGGATGTGCTTTGCAGTTTCTCAAGGGGGGTGCATTGATGACCTTCTGCTTCTGTGGGCTGCTGACGTGCAAAGTCTGGTTGAAAAGGTGTAAAGCTGGCTCTCAATCCTTCTATCAAGGTTCAGGATTCTCAATTTCTTGGACCTGCACCTCGGCATTTTACCCCATCGCCGATCGCCGTGTGCATTGGATCTGTTTCTTTACGTGCAATTGTTCGATTCACCCTCCCGGTACTTTTGCGAGCCTGCGATGAGGAGTGGGGATTGGGTGTGAGAGGCGACTGTCTTCCTGGTGGCTATGCTGCAAGCATTCGGTCTTGCAAGTGTCGTTTGAAGCTAGCAGCTAGAGTTTTGAACTTGCTGGCTTGACCTTAGCTCGTTACAGCGCAAAGCTGTTGAGAGGGTATAGTGCTCCTGGAAGGCCTTCTTGAAGTTGCCGTGCAACAACCACATTTCTGCCGACTGAGTTTCTCAGAATCTCCAACAACTTAGCAAATTGCTTTGCCAACGTGCTCCAGCGTGGTGTGTTCCGAAGTCAATACAAGCAAGATTTGATGTCCTGTCTTGCCTATTTCATTGAACACGCGATGCGCAGGCATGTGGTGTGCCCTGACAAGTCCCGGCGACGAAAGCTAGGCATTGATATGGTTGAAAGCTGCGTGGTGACCGGGCTTAAGCGATCGCTTAAGCGACCTGTGTCTGATTGTTGCGCATGTCCCCATGAAACTGGTAGCTAGTCCGGGCTCCTCTACGTTCCACTTGAGCAAATTGGCATCCTTCCAGCCCAATTTGCCTGAAAAAACGCAAGAACTGAAGCATCTGAAAGTGCAAAAACCACTCACTAGCCATTTAAAGCACACCTGGACATGGTGTGGCAAAACAAGCGCTCGCATACAGAAGAAAAACAAAGAACACATTGTCTTGAATGTGCCCTCAAAATGTTGCCAAGAAACTTGCCCAGCCCCTCTCTCCAAGTCCAGCGTCGATCGCATCAAGTCTGGCTTTGGAGGCATCTGATGGTACTTTGTACAAGCCTGCGGCAGGTAGCCAAACTCACCAATGGAGTGAGTTCCAATCCACTCGGTAAACTCATGACTGGCTGAGATGAGCGCCGCCCGACACAACCACTTGCTCTGCTGATTGCATTTCACTCAAGAACTCGTGGCAGTTGCATTTGGTTTGCTCGCCTTAGATGGACCGTCACAGAAGGTCGGCCTGTGGTTGGAAGGGGTTGGACATGCTCAAGACCACGGACAAAGTGCAAAAACTTTCCAAAGTTCAGCTCTTGAGCCGGTCACACGATGTCACACACCTCTTGAGACCACAAAACATCGAAGCAATGGCCTCCAACCTAGTAGCCATGGCCTCCAACCTACTAGCGATTGACACAACTACGAATTCTGGGACCATAACGCCAGAGAAAATCACAGCACCACTTGTTTGCTCTAAGGCGCCATCATTGGCTTCTACGCAGGCTGTGGCGCACCAATCCCTCTCGCAACAGCGACACGGCAAACCTAATGTGACCTCAATCTTGATGCAGTTGAACACACACTTCAAGCCCGCACAACAAAGTTTCAAAAAGGAGTGTCTGATTTACAGCATATTTTTTCAGACACTCCACGTTTGCTTCAGTGCTTGCTGCAGAACGGTTCGTGCAGCGGCTGGCTCGGGCATGACGCCAACAAACAAGCCAGAGAAAAGCGTTCCTGCCATGCAGGGTCAACTTAGCTGCTTGGGTGTCAACTGAATTAACTTAACACTGAAAAATGAGTATCAACTGAACAGAGTAAATGACAGTAAATGAGTGAAGAAGTGCCTGTGAGCAGGCTCCTTCGAGTCTGGGAAAGTGACCAGTGGCGATTCGCAATAAAAGCTCCTCATCACAATGGCCCAATGGCCTCCATCCTAATAGCGATGGCTAGCGATGGCCTCCATCCATGCAAGTTGCCAAAAGTCACACTCTTTTGCACTCGCCATGCCCATCCTGACTCATCATGTCCACGCCAAGTGGTCACCAGCCACGTGGCAACTAAAACTTCCAAGAGTCCTGGGAGCCCGACACAACTCAAAGCAGCAAGCTGCAGAACTCATGTCTCTGTCCTCTTCCTCGAAGCTTTCCTAACAAAAACGGTTTGGCTTGAATATTTTGCTCACACAAGTTCCAAACCAAAACGTGCCATGCGACAAAGTGGCGCCAATTCGCCATCAGGGATGGCGTTTCAGACCTTCTCGTTCACTGTGAGCCAGGCAGTAGGGGATACAAGCGTTCTTGAATGAAGCAATGTAGATCAATAAAATGACGTAGTGACGCAGTGCAACTGACAAAAACTAAGCTCAAACAATGCCGTATGAGACAAAGCACATCGAAAAACATCCAAAATTAATGCGACACGTTGAAGCGCTTGTCGCAAACATTTTCAATACGGAGTAACTTGTATTGCACCCTTGGCTCAATGTGCACTTCCGTTTAACTTGCCACGAGAAGCGTCACTTCCACGGCATGTCCTCGTTGCACAACCCATGCCAACCCCAGCCACTGCTCCGCCAACATGCGCTGCCCAAGCCACACGATGAAACGGATGAAAGCGGCGCAAGGCCAAGCCAAGCACATTCGACAGCATGGCTGAGGCGGCAAGCTGTGACAGAGAGAATGTCATGGGAAAGGGCATCACTGAAAATTGCCGTTCGGGCTGGAGCACGCTGCTGGCAGTCAGCAACCCCATGACCACACCACTTGCACCCATCACAGGTTCCTTCTGCAAAAGTACATGGCTTCCAGTGGACCCAAGACCACTAACAGTACACAAGGCTAAGAATTCAGCATTGTTCAGGTGTTCAGCTGCAACCAATCCGACTGTCCACAATGCAAAGGAATTGAAAACAAAATGGGCTGGGCGCTGGTGAAAAATGCACGATGTCAAAAGTGTATGCCACTTTCCATGTCGGAGGTGCCATCGACTGCAAAGGAAGTGATCACTCATTCCCTTGGCCCTGGTTTGCCAGCAGCCAAATGCCAGCGCGTTGCCAACAAGCAAGGCTGTTAATGCCGCCAAACCTGGCACGTCTCTATCAGCCTGTTTGTGCATCACTGCGGGAACATTCTGAGCATTGTTTGATGGCATCTACATGGATATATCACATAGTCTCGCCAATGCCTGTACCCAGTGCTGCCAGAGCCACACTCATCCATGGGAAACTGGATTCTGTTCGAGTCTGTGTGTTTTCCACTGTGCCAGCCCCCCACAAATAAAGTAAAAATGTCTTTGTTCAAAAATGTGTTGCGCATGTTTTGACCCTGCGCATTTGTACAGGGAATGTTTCAAACTATGCAATGCGGGCTAAAAGCTACCCTGGAATGTGAGTGGGCAGTCGAGCGACAGCCATAGATGTGCGCATGTGTGGCGCTGCAGTGTTGACAGCGTGACAGCCAGTCCAGCACTAGTCTGGGATCCTGAACCCCAAAAAACTGAACCTTGAAACCTAGCAGGAACGCCCAACCATGAAACCTCTAAACTCCAATCTCAAACACACAGCCAACCACTCAACTGATGTTTGTGGTGTGTATGCGTTTTTTGGGGAAGGCCCACCCCGCACCCGCTGGTTTCGCAAGGAGGGCTGCCATGACTACAAATTCCAGGGCAGGAAGCGCGACGTTTTTAGCGGACAAGGCCTGGGACAAGGGCAGGATAAACAACGCAATACGGAAACGGGCCCACCTGGACAATGCAAACCAATCAAGCAAAGAAGGCCCTGGACAAAGGGTTTTCCTGAGCTGTACACGGCGCTCGTCCACCCGTGGGAAACAAAGAAATTTTCATGTTGTTGGCACACGCATCGTGAATGATGGTGCAATAAAGACTTCCACGGAGCTACATAGTCGTCGTTCGTTCGTATGAGGTGTCACGATGTCCATTGAGGGGCTGGCGAAGTTGTTGGCACAGTGGAGTTTGACTCCAAACAAACGCGTTCGATTCCTGGCCGAGCCTTGAGAAGGAAGAAGGGCACATTGTTCAGAGGGATGGTGGCAGGATCTACGTGAAAATTGCAATCACGCATGACTCATGCTCAGTTGGCGAATTTTCCTTGCTCATTTCATCCGAATTTTGTGCGGATCCTCGGAATCAACCCTATCAAGCCCACGGGAGGGTCTCTTAGCCCCCGAACGGCTTAACGAGAGACTTTATTTAATATTTAATAATGTGTTTTTCCAGGTGAGGTCATTTTATTCCCCTGATTCTTTGTGTGCCAACGATGGAATCCTGCGTCAAACATCGTGGCTTACTAAATTTCTGGCTAAGGGGCGTTCTTCGGAAGATACATTGGGCCACTATGTTTGGTTGTCCGGTAATTTGATGTCAGCAAAAGTAATGCAAAGTGCACGTCACAAAGTGACACGTTCTGATATTCTGGCACTTACAGCTGTCGCCTTTCCGCCAAGTTGCCGTCTAGCCGGGACACGTGAAAGTACAGCCGTTAATGAATTTACAAGACAAAAGCTAGTGCTCACGTGATGCCTCAGAACCGGGCCATGTTTAAGTGCGTGTATTTCACACATAGGGTCAAAACAAAAGATCACAAACCAGCCAAATGAAGAAAATGTTGCGCTATTGTTCATGAATTGGAAACCAAACAGTTATAGAACCCTGCAGTTGACATGGCCACTAACTATGCTCAGAAATCCCTGGGATTCTGCTTGCTATGTGTCTTACTTAATTCCTGTACTAAAATTCTAGTTCAACATACTGTGTACGATTTCCGTTTCCTCTTTTGAATCCTGTGAAGTCCGCTACAAAGATTATGACTATGATAATAGCAGTTCCTTGACCTCCTGGGGGGGACTAGCGGCTTCTAAACCAATATTCCATTGCAGCCTGCTATGAATATGCCTACGCCTGCCCTGGCATACCCCCACGACCGTCGTGCAATGGTAACGCACTGTCCTGTCTCATGCTGGCTGGTAGGCGCCAACATCCTTGGTTTTTTCGCAAAAAATGCGTCGCATCACTCACTTGAAAAGTGTCATATTGCGGACTCTTTTCTCGAGTAGCAACGGCCTTGTACACTTCTCGTTTGTGCTGTGTCACCTTAGATGAACATGTATGCAACCTGTCCATGGGCCCTTTTACCTCACATTCGCACATATCATTCCATGCAAACTTTTGT